TAGTGTAAATTAAGTTACATCACATTACATTACTTTTTCCATAGGTTAAAGATTCTTAACCATTTTTTACTATCGTTTATGAAGGATGTCCGATTACAGAGAAAGGGGAGGTCAAAATGTGACTCTGTCATGAGAGGACAAAAGGCTGTGTGACGTTCCGTAATCAATTTTTTAAGCTATCTTACGCGGGAATGTTCAATAATTTATTTTTCTTTCACGTGTGATGGAAATGTAACAATTCTTTTCACACGTGATATAATTTAACAGTTTGTTCTTTGCAATTACAATGCAAATGTAATACATTTACAATACAAATGTAACAACTCTTATACATGAGATACAAAGGTAACAACTCTTACATGAGATACAAATGTAACAACTCTTTTACATGAGATAGAAATGTAACAACTCTTTTACACGAGATACAACAACTGACATGAAATATAAATGTGACAAAGTTGCATGAAATACAAACGTAACAACTCTTTCACGCGCGGTATAAATTTGATAATTTTTGTGTATGATAATGCACATAACAAATGTATGATTTGTAAATGACAAATTTTCATTAAACGACACTTTCACACAATACACCTAACAACTTTTATTACATAGCATAAAGTTAACAGTTCAAAAATATGTACTGTCATATTTAAACAGGTAGAAAAACTACCCTAAATTTTTACGGAAAAACATTTTATCTTGAAATTTCCACAACATTCTATATCTGAAAGTTCAATTTTTCATAATCCTCTTAATTAAAAAAATTAGATTTCCATTAATGAAATAAATCAATTATAGCAGATAACGAAATTTGTGACGCTCTAGAGGGGCTGTTACTAATGTAGCCGAGTAGCTAAAATGCAAGAATATAAAAATTACAAGAATCTATGGACACCTTTTCTACTCAATCAAAATCTTGAAATCTTCACAGAAAAGAAGCGATTTCCAACAACTTTTAAGCGACATAAATCTCCGGGATTTTACATCATCTTCAGACAAGAACATTTTTCTCTGCCCAATTTTCTACTCTACAAACAAATCGATTATTTCGCAAATTGGATAGCAGCGGGAGCCAAAAGTTAGAAAGTAAATCGAGATCTTCATCATAGAATCGGTCTATTAGCGAAGCCGTTTTTTGCAGGCCCACATTCACCGACCAATCGTGAGTTAACCAGTCGGTGAACGATGTTTCTAATTAATCGGCTTACGAAATAATCGGCGCAAGTTAGGTCGAAATTCTGGTACGCGTGTTCCGCGGATCTAATTAGTTCGAGGTGGGCGTGCAAGCGGCTACAGCGACTCAGAAAGCAAGAACCTTTCCACCAGTTACGATTAATTAGCTTCGGAAAATGTTTTTCTTCATTTGGATAAACAAATTGCGACAACCTCTACCCACAGGCATGATTGCTGCAGAAAAATGTCAGTAATGCAGCGTCGCTGTTACAAACATTTCGCGTATGTATGTACACCACGGAACAAATCTGATTTCCTCTGGGAAGAGTAGAAAATTCAGAATTTTTCAGATTATCAGAGTTCCGAGTTTAGGTATTTGGCGCGTAAGGGAATACAGGATTTCTTGTTTTGGGTTTTGAGAATTTTAGGGATTTGGAGATTTGAGAATTTTTTAAGTTCTGAATAATAATTAAAGTCGTGAGATTTTACACATTTGAACATTTGTAATTACATATTTGACGTATACAATTATATAGAAATACTTTGGTGATAGGAGGTGAGAATCTCGAAGTATAAAAATGTGAGTACTTGAAAATTTTTTAATTTGAGAATTTGTAAATTTTTAAGACTTGGGAATCAAAATTTGAAGATATGAAAAATAGAAGAATTTGAGAAGTGATTTCCTAATTAGGACTTCGAAAGTTCGACAAAATTTATAAATCTAAAATTTCAAATTCAGAAATGTAGAAATGCTGAAGTAAACACATTCGATCCCCCAAATCAAAAGCGAGCGTTGGAGGCCCCACCTCCACTCATCCTTATTCAAGGGAAGTCTACGTTGCTCGCGAGTGAACATGCATTGAAAGCTAAGGATACTTCAGATTCCAAGCGTTACTGTTTAATTTGTACTAAAGACGATTCAATATTTAACACAGCACTTCTGTTTCATCACAGATAAACTCCAACAATTAAACTATCAGATTTAAAATTCAAAAGCACCGATTACTATTTATTGCTAAAAGCTGTCGCAAATTTCGTACGAGATCACACAAATCTACATAAAGTTTTTAAATTCATGGCGGCTGATTTCTCGTTAAAAATTAGTGATAGAGCATCAAACGTTAACTTGCATTATACGCATTCTGAAAACGGTGTCTGGTATCGCGATAAATTTCGAAAGATTCCTGCATAACGTTCCGCGTTTCCAAGAGGACCATGGCAATTGGACTTTCTAACGCGGCGGAACCAGGGTCAGGCGTATATCAATCGTGGTTAATTAGTCGCCTGGTGGAAGGCTGGCTGCTTCATGGGCGACGAATAAAGGCCGGGTAGCGCTCACGCACGAGTAAAACATCGGCAACGCGATACCGTTGACCCCGATGGTAAATTGTCTTTCGAGAAACCTCGACAGATGCAAACCGTACAGCCTTAATTAATTGCACACGCATCACACGCTCGACACGGTCCGTTCGGGAAAGCATTGTTCAAACTGGCGACGACTAATCACGATTAATTAGCCCCGCGCGTACGATTTGGAGGAATAAATTGGCGAACAACGCCGAGGAGCTTCGGTCCTCCTGCAGGAGATGTTGCAGATTTTTCAGAGGTCAAGTCTACAAGACTGTGTTCTACGATCGAGAAGGAGGACAGGGTGTCGTACGGAAAAAAACTGCTACAATGGTTTGCTATAGAAAGCGGATCCAAATTATTTGCTGTTTATGGAAACACGACTGTTGTTCTGCCAGACCGGCTTCTAATAACGCTTTCCCGAAACGGATACTTCGTTGCTGAAGAGTCTTGAGCTCCGCTTCGTTGACCTTTAAATCTATTGCTCCGAATACAGCTGCTGCCGAACCCGTTTCAGGGATATTTGCGAAGAAAAAATTTTACGAGCTTCTATTGGGCCAATAGGTCCTTTTTCGACAGGTGAGGACCGATTTTAGAAACACTAGAGGGATTCTGAAATTTGAGTATTTAATTCTCTATCGCTTTTGGTCAACCTCCGTTTTTTTTTCTTTTTTCTTGAATTAGAGTTAGATTTTTTTCTTGAATTAAAGTTAGATCTGCCAAATACTTTCTATGCTTCGAACCATCCGTTCGGAATGCGACAATTCAAGTTTTAGATTATTCGTGGAAATATTATATTTCAATGGAAAGTGTCTCGTTAACAACTTTAGTATTTCATTAAGTTATGAAAGAGAGGAAAAAGTTCATGTTCATTCGTCGAATATCTACTTCTGATTTTATCATTACGGAATTTCGTTTTAGGTGACATTAAAAACCTATCGGACACAACTTATCAACAGTAATCGCCATATCACACCTACTTGGGGACACACGAATCTACACTTGAGATTTTCAAGACTGTTCATACAATCTCCACATTTTTTGAAGATTGTTCGTATTTAACGATCAGACATATTCATACTAGAAGTCTACAAAGTAATCATATAATATATGTAAATTACACGATTGTTTCATATTATAGACTTCAATATAACATACCCTAACACTTCAATATAACAAACCCCAGTTCCTAGTCTACAAAAAATGACTTTACTAAATACTTGCAGGTACCTGTCCTAAAACTCAGAATCGATTAGGTCTGTCAAAAATAAAGTTATTCTTCAGGGTTTTCGAATTCAAAGTGAGTGTTAATGACGAGTTTATGATCCGAAATAAAAGTTCCATTGTCTCAATCGATGTGCCTACGACGCGATACCTGTTATTTCCCCTCGGACTCGAACGTGTCAATGAGTCAACGAATTCTGATACGAAGCACTTAAAGTCGCCGTTGTATATTCTGGAGTAGGTTCGTACGAGTAGCTGGGCCGATATTGTTCAGGAGTCGAGTGGCGGTACAAGCATGGTGCGTTTTGACGCGCGCGGACCGCACGTTATCTGGCGATGAAAATTTTTTCGCGGAGCTTAAACTGCAACACATCCACTCTCGTCTTCGCGTGAACCGGTGTTGGTAAACAAAAGGTTGGATATCTAAATCGCGACGGGTATATCACGGCTCGCCGACTCGAGAGGGTCCCTAATACCGGTTCCCTTATCTGCACACGAATCGAAATCTGGCGTGTCGCACGCGTTTCCACTGCGTTCCCGGCCCCAATGCCCGTTGCACGCACCTTCGAAACACGAACCTCAACGGCAACGGTTCGCCAACTCCACGGAACCGGTTGAAATTTCGACGCGAGGAAGTTACGCTTGACACGGACCACGTAAATTTGTCGAATTTTGCTGAAACGAAGTCTCGTCAAATTACCTAATGCAACCGACGAAATCTTAATCGACGAGACGTAAATCATTTCGAAGGAATCTACCTGTCCAGCGTACAGATACCTCTATCCACTATACAACCACGCACTTTTGGACCGTGCGAAAAATGCGATACAAGCACTGAAAACGTTGCCTCGATTTAATTAAATAGATTCATTGTTGTTTTCCTTGAATATTACACACTTTTCAAGAGGACCGAACCACATCGAAAACTGATACTTAAACCCTCCCTACATAGAAATATTTTATATTAATTATTCGATTTAAAAATTTATCAGTGACAATCACTCACTACGATCGTATTATTATTGTGACGATTTTTACTTCGTTTCGAATTAGTATAAAGATTTATATCACTTTACGAAGACCCTCACTTTGCAGCACAACACAAGACAGACGTCTTCACCTTGCTCACACCGCTTCATCTTCCGATTTCTGGTCGATTACGCAAATGGGAAATAAACCTCACTGATTGCCGTAACGGAAACAGAAACACTATCAGACGCGAATTTATATCCTGTTAACAAGAAATCACGTACCTGGGTTCATATCCCGCGAGCTGCCAGTTTCCCTTCAAGCAGCAGTTGCACTGTTACCCTCGACACACTGTATCTCTCCAAACACGATAGAACTTTACTGGCGAACAACTACAGATTAATCAGAGGTCCGGACACTTTTTTATATCTCTCTTGCGCGCGGTCCTTCGTGACACGGACAAATAGAAAACGTATAAGAAGATGCGCGTAAGTTGACGCGGATAGGAACGCAGAGAATAGGAATGATTCGTTTCAAAGCACCACACACAGTTTTTATTTTTTTTTTAGTAACGTCTACGAGCCTATCACGGAGAACAATCACCTTCGCGAGTCGAGAGGATTTTGACACTACGCTACCTATCCTTTCAGAGATTCTTGCACGTCCCGACACTTCGACACTCGTTGTCCAACACGCCGCGAAATAGAGGATTTAGAATCTGTCGGCGATCACGGTCGGTCATTCGGACGTTCGCGTTATGTTTCCGGTTGTTCGGCGATCCAAGCGATCCCTGACTAGCTGTTGGATCCTTGGGGGCCGGTTCCCTGTTTCCTTTCGACACTAGTCCTGCGCACCCCGCTCACAAACCCGGCTAATGGATAATAGAACGAACCCGAAAACAAGTCGTGCACTGTGGAGGAAACACCGTTTTCAGCACTTCGTACACGCAACGCGGACTTGCCGATAATCCTTAGCGAGCGTGGCGTTCCGGCAGTCAGAAAAAAAGCAACTCCGCGCGTCCACGGTTCAACCCCTCGGTAAACGCGAACGATGCGAGGCCTGTGACGAGGGGGTGGCGAGAGTGCGTTGTTCGTGGCGTGAAAACGGCGGCGAGGGCTCGCCGGGTTCCGCGGCTCTCTCTCTCTCTACACACGGAATAATATTTTAATGAAGGAAAGGCCGGACAGCGAAGTGCCCACGTCGGGTCGCGCTGCCGAACTGCTCGCTTCC